TCTTCCTGATAAATATTTTTATGTATTATATGAATCAGAAAGAAAAGAATTGCTTTAATCTTAATCTATTTTGTATAAACTAACAGATAAAAAACGATAAAACCGAGTCCTCTAAAAGTAAGACTGTATTTAAATCGTATCGGCGGACTCCCTGTTTGTTCGCATATACCTATAGGAAAAAACTTTCGTGACTTAGTCTATCTAAATCTTACCTTCGCCCAACTGAATCGTTCGCAAGAGACGAATGAGTGAGTAAGATAGAACCTCGCATGTAAAGCGACTTTAGTATATCCTCTGCACGCAACTTTCTTTGTCTCACTACTTACCCGTCTCGATACACATACGCTTAGTATATCCAGTTATCGAGAAAGAAAAATTCGAAATGATATCATTAAATTCCGATAACGAATGACGATGATTTCTATAGCAACTTTTTCTTTTTATTATACTTCATTTGTCCCTCAGGTAGTTACTTATTAGTTATAGCTCATTTTCAGAATCATTTTAACGAAAAAATGCAAAAAAAGGCGTACTAATTTGTATGTGCATGTACGTCTGAATTTTTTCGAACATTTTGACACCATCTGTTACCTATTTTCACCATCTAGCTACAGATACACGCATAGTTTCACACGCTCTAACAGTAAGGATGAAGCTCGCTTATACATGTTTGTCTCCTTCTTACGCAGGAATGAGTCGATCTTAGCACAATAGAAGCGATTCCTGACAACAAAAATACGGCTTCTCTTTAAAAAGTCCATCAGTGTACTATGTCATGTATGCTAAATCTGAAGAATTGTGTATAAGAGTAATTCTTTAATTTTTTCACATTACGAAGGAACGGACAAACTTAGGGTGTATAAAGGGCGCTTAATATTGTTAAGGGTATCAAAGATATGCTTGAAACGTTCATTTTTGTCTCTTCAAAGCTTGCAACCATAAAAAATACGGCAACTTGTGACCTTAAACTCAGATCCTATATTTTGTATCATTTTTTACTTTAATTTATGCATTAATTTAAAAATTGAATGATTATTATTTTTTTACTACTGTTTGAATATCCAAATGTAAACAATCTATGTTTATAATTGATTTTTCTCTAAATCTTTCTCTATACTAAATTTTGCTGCACACTGAATTGTATTACATATCTCAGCATAAGGGACTATATTAAGAAAGTTCAATGTCTCTTGGGAATATATAGATATGTATTTTGTAATGAAGGTGTAGATGCAAATATATACAAGAAAAAATCTCTTGGCTTAGAAAATCGTGAAAAGAAACTCATCCAAAAAAGTACCTTTTACTTTCGCTGCATCAAACGCGCTTTATTCGAATAAGTAAACTTCTATGGTCCGCGAACGAGAGCTATTCATATGCTCGTTCGAGACAATTTCATGCGGATCTTCAGACATTTTTTACAACGCTCATACTTTTGTATTCATTTTTCTCATGCATACCTTCCATTTTTCTTCATTTTCCAAATCTTTAGACCTATTTGAATCTGGTTCACGTGTTTTTCCTTTTCACATAAATTATCTAATTTTTATTTCTAATAGATTTTTTAATTAGCTTAAAGCAAAGTTAATTCTCTGCTGAAAAATTCAAGAAAAGTATTATAAGTTACATTATAAAAAAAAACATTCATGGGATCATACTATCATAATCTAGGGTAAAGCACAGGTTTGTAATTTTTCCATGGTCTCAAAAATTTTTCTCGTACTTTACAAGACGAAAAATATAAAATAGAAATAGGTTTTTACTTAGCTATAATGATAACTTGGCCATTTTTTTAAATGTCAAAATATTTTAAATTTTTAAGACGTGAAATTTGCAATTTTTGTGAACTGCGATTGAAGTCGACAAATGCTACGTGTATATTTCGTATTGAAGCAACTAAAGAGGGGTGAACCGTACAATTTTTTTCACACTCGTTGCAAATAGTTCAAGTTCTACATCGTCGCACGAAAACGAGACGAGGTAAGAAGGAGTTACACTGCAGAGAGGGATCGAAAAAGCGAGAGAAAGGTTGAGAATGAAAAACCCCGTCAGGGTGAAAACGTAGAGTAGTAGTAGCAATAGCAAACTCGGATTCGAGTGGTAAAGAGGGTGCACTGTAAATAGAGGGAGCAAATGAAAAGAGCTTGCTGTTAACGGAGGCAAAAGTCTCGAGAAGCCTTATTACACGCTTTCTTTAAGGTTTTAGGCTTGCTGATTTTATATTTCTGCTGCTTTCGATGCATTCTTTATGAGAATTACACATTTTTCTCGATGAAGTAAGTTTGATTGAGCTTCGGACTTGCTTAATTAATTCTTCGATATTTGAATAAGAAATTTAAAATATATGAAACAAATTTTTTGTAAACGTATTAAAAGAATAACCAACTCTGTAATTATGTGCAGTAACTTTCACTAGTGAATCGATTCAAATCACACGTTTAAATTATTCTCACAGTGGCAATACAAAATAATTAATAATACGCATTTTTACATGTAATAATTAAACATCCCTAGTAGTTAGAATGTTTCAAAATCTCCGCAATATGAGGAAAATTTTTTTATCGTTTACGTATACTCAAACTTTCTGTTATGATAAATTAAAATTAGTTCTTAGTGGTCTTTCTTTGAGTAAAGCGTGAGAAACAAGAAAACAAAAATACGCGCAGAATTTAAAAGTGGTTCTAGTACTATGTCAACAAATTTATAAAATAAATCAGTGATTTTGAACGATCTATCAAAATGTTCAAAAATAAAGAGAAAAAGAAAACGAGCTGCAAAATTTGAAGTTAATTTGAAAAATATAGACACATGGATTTGTATTGTAGATCGAGGCAATATTGATGATGATGACGGCGATGATGATGATGATGGTGGTGAGATTTCTTATAATATTCATATGAGAAAAAAAGAAGCTGCAATTGTTTGATTGGGAAATATAAAAACATAGTCGAACGTGTTTTCTCCGCTCTATTCAAAATCAATGCCGTTATTGATAAAATTGCCACGGTTTTTATTTGGAGAATCAAATACGCTTGTCAGTTTTGTCCTACGATTTCATTTTCATTGCAAAAAAATAGACTTTTTCGATTTTTTTGGGCGAAAAAAAAACTGTATTTTCAGTGTTTAAAAATGAACAGAAAAAGTCTCAAAAAATTTTTGACACTACAAAGTCAGGGTTAAAAAAAAGGACAATTATAATAATAATAATCGATTTTGAAAAAGCATTGTCCTTACTTTGCTGAATTTATATTTTTTTATGTTACATAATAGGGCTGTGCGAGTACTTGAAAAACCTCGACTCGTCGAGTTCGAGTTTTTTCCTCGAGTTCAAGTCGAGTACTCGATTTTTTGAGTACTCGAGTTTTTTCAGGTACTCGCGTTTTATTCGAGCACTCGAGTTTTTTCGGATACTCGAATTTTTTCGAGTAATCGAGTTTTCTTCATCCCATGCTCGAAAGTACGTACTTTCATCTTCGAATTCGGGGACGAAAGTAATACTTTTGCTCCCCGTCAATATCGCGCAAAAGTTATTATCTCCATGACTACGGCAACCTACATTTCAATTATCGTTTGGTTTCGACTATGTAATAGATGAATTATATTGATTTAGTTTATGATGTACATATGCCAGATTGAATAAATATTAAAAGACTAACAATTCTATGAAGTATCAAAATTGAACAGCCATAATTTGACGTACACATTTCATTACATTCAATTCCAATCCGAAATTTAAATCGTTAAAGATGGTAGTTGTAATAAAAAATGAAATGTAAGAGAACAAAGACAGTCAAAATATGTTAATTTTTATAAAATATTTTGAAAAATTCTTTCAACTTTAAACGTTATTCTAGGTCACTCAAGTTTCTACTCGTCTACCTCAGATTGAGTGAATTACTTAATTGAAATTTTCAAAATTTGACAAAATAAATGTTTAATTGAATAAAACTTCAAATCGGAACAAGAAGAGAACATATGATACTAATTCATACTTATATACTTTACGGGATCGTTTGTATTTTATTAACGCCATTGTTATCTATGATTTACAATTATTTATTAATAATATTAGTTATGTACTAATAAACATTATTATTGATGATATTTGTTGCAAAGCTCGCCGTCGATCAGCAGCCCTCGCTGCGCTCGGGCGGCAAATGTCGGCGGGCTTTGCCATGTAAGCGTAAATTCATGGATACAATTTTTTTTAATGAAATATTTCTTAACTATGTTAAGCAAACGTACTTTCGATCGGGGATAAAGAAAACTCGTAAACGCGACTCGAGACAAAAGTCAAACGCCCGTCTCTGCAAGCTTGCACCCTCGGCTTCACCTTGGGTGCATAACCTTGCAGGGACGGAAGTTCGACTTTCGTCCCTTGTCACGTAATATACTATTTTCGAGTACTCGCAATATATTTAAGTTATAAGTAAATAAATGATGAATTCAGTCTGTAGACCACCTTCCTTTGTCTGTACATGCTTATAAGTGTGATATTCGCAATGGATAGAATTGAAAGAAGAAAATAATTTAATAGCACCACACTTCATCACACTTATAAGCACGTACCCACAAAGGGAGGTGGTTTAGAGACTATTAATTTATCATTTATTTACTGAAAACTTAAATATATTGCGAGTACTCGAAAAACTCGATTACTCAAATGAATACGAGTACCCGAAAAAACTCGAGTACTCAAATTTTCCCAACTCGACTCGAACTCGAAAACTCGGGTACTTGCACAGCCCTATTACATAATGTAATTGGTGCGAGTGTACCATAACATGTGCTGGTTTATATTAACATTAAATTACTATTAATCAATTTTTCTCGAGCAGTAGATTTAATCGTTCTTTTTCAGAGTCGACATAATATCATATTTAGTTTGATTTTTTTAGGCTTAATTTAATGTCTCATCATGCATTATAATAGTGGATTTTGTTCTATGACATGATACTGTTTCATACTATTGTATTTTAATTTGGTTTTCTTTTTTTTAGATGGTGACAAGGACAAAAAAAATATTTGTTGGAGGATTGTCAGCGCCAACGACGTTGGAGGACGTCAAAAATTATTTCGAACAATTTGGCCCGGTAAGTACTGAAAGAAATATTTTTTTTTCATTTTGATACCTCATGATGTGTATAATTATAATTACTACAATTATTAAATAATTTTTAATCGAATTCACGACTCTGACGTTATTTCTTTAATAAATTTGGTTAATTGAAAAGATGTATATGGCTGATTCTCAGTGAAGTCGAATGGACAAAAAATGTTTTTTTTTTAAATATGAAAAACTAGTTCTTTTCAATGTCAGAAATTTCCCAAAAATATTTTCAAAAATTTGGGGCCTTTCAAGACCCTTTTTTATAGGCCCAAAATTGACCATTTTGGCATTTTTCCAAGTTTCATTAAAAATCACGAATATTTAAATGATTCTTAGATCAGTGCAGAGTGACTCAAATGAAAAAGTGCCAAAAAATTGATTTCAAATGAATTTGAGCACTCTGCAAGCTTGCACAATAGAAATAAATTATATAAACCACAAACTCGAAATCTAATCGTGTTAGATGTGGACTTTCATTTCCAAAACTATTTAAAAAGGTTTTTAAATATGTCAACTCTACCTGATAAAATATTGTAATAGGCTTCAAACTGTAACTGTCAATAATGAGTGTCAAAACAAAAATTCGAAAATGGCTGTTTTTGTCGACATTTTGGCCCCAAATTACCTTAATTTTTTATCTCGCATAGGGATGGGGCAGGCATGAGCGGTCATACGACCGAAGCCAAATATACTATAGATTTAAAACGATTCGTTCCCCAGCAGAAAATGAAAACAAGAGACCTTCTCACCTTCGGGTCATGGATTTGCTCCAAAATTTTTTTGGGGTCTCCTGGTACCCTATACTGAAGCTCTCTGTGCTTAGTTTGATCTCATGGGCCTTAGGGCCCATTTTTAAGAGGATTTTCCACATTATGAAAAAATCTTTGTTATTTTCTATATCGATATAGAAGTACTTAAATGAAAAAATGTGACGATAAAAAGTTTTAAAATTTTTCAAAGAATGTGCTTGAATTTTTTCAGAATTTTTGGGGCCATCTATCACTCTCTTTAAGAAGGCCTAAAATCTTTTAAAAAAAGCGTCAAATTTGGGCCTCTTGAATTAAGTGATAGATGGTCCCAAAAATTCTGAAAAAATTCAAGCAAATTCTTTGAAAAATTTTAAAACTTTTTATCGTCGCATTTTTTCATTTAAGTACTTCTATATCGATATAGAAAATAACAAAGATTTTTTTATAATGTGGAAAATCCTCTTAAAAATAGGCCCTAAGGCCCATGAGATCAAACTAAGCACAGAGAGCTTCAGTACAGAGTACCAGGAGACCCCAAAAAAATTTTGGAGCAAATCCATGACCCGAAGGTGAGAAGGTCTCCTGTAAGTAATAATCATTTACACACTTTGGAAACTTGCATAGCGATAGGAAATTTCCTCAGCTTTCGATTGGAACTATTTAGAAAAATCTTAAAAATTTGCTTTTCAAGATATTTGCCTTTAATACTTTATGTCAAATTTTTTCGGTAAAAATTGAAAATTTTGGAAAATCTGATCACACCATCGGAAAGCTGAGATACTTTTTCATCGAAACGATGGGTTGCCTTTTTTTTCTAGGTCCATTTCGATACTTTTTACGTGAGTTAGAAACTGAGTGATTTCGTTTAATTACGCTGCATGGATAGGACACTTGTAATGAAATGCCTTTTATATAGGCGTAGTAATAGGTACATACAGTGCGCAGTAATTGTTACATCGGTTTAAAATTCGTAACTTATTTTATTATAGAAAAATACAACTAATCAAACTAATATCGACGTATTTATTAAATATATTGATATTTGCAAACCAAATTTTCACACACGTAAAAAGTTACAATTGATTTTCTATTGGTGTTATCGGCAATTTCTTTCGTAAAAATAACTCAATTGCGGAGGTAAATTTCAAATCGATATTATGTTAATAAATTGATGTTTTAATATTAATTTTTTTTTTCATTAATATTGTGGCAGGACAATATCTATTATTTAAAATCATTGCAATGGACGAGCAATAGGTGCTGTGCAGTAATACCCCCGCTTATCCTATACGTGATTATTGGGTATTCTTGCAATTGTAAGTAAACAAGCTGTGGAGTATCTCATGATACACGGATTTTCCTGCTGGCACAGCAGCGTTTTTGAAATTTGCTCTCTCTCTCTTCTTCTTTCTTTCTGCGTCTTTTTTAAAATCTTTATTTATGAAAAAGTTAGGAAAGTGAAGAGAAGAGAGGAATAAAAGTGTCGTCGTTCACTTGCACACGCACCAAAAGGTAAATCTTAGCTGGTGGTTCATGCAGTGAAAGCAAAGAAAAAACGCTTTGCACGATAGTAAGTGGAAGCTCGTGCATTTTTTTATTTTATCTTCGACTTGCTGAAAAAAGTGAATGAGATAGGGAGAGAGAGAAGGAGAGAGCTATAGGGAACGCAAGCGAGCAAGAAGAGAGGCAGACGGAAGTTCTCGAGGGTAACGCCGGCACATTGTTCCGTCGCACACTCAAGACTTAATAAATTACTTCGGGCTGCCGCTGCCATTGCTACTAGAATAAAGCTCAAACTGCGGCGATGCGAGCTCGAGCTTTCTTTCTCTCTTTTTCTTAAAATAAGAAAAGTTGAATGTAAGAGGTTTTCACTACGCAAGAAGATTAATATGGATTTTTAAATTGAGACTAAAGACTGAAAAGATATACGTGATGGCGTACGATAAGTTCCAGCTGTAATCTGGCAGCTCTGTACACCTAAATTCAACTTGAGTGTTTTGATAAATTAAATGTTTCATAAGTTATTCTTATAAGGTTCACATAGAACGTTAGTGAGAGAAACGTAAATATTATCTTTTTCTATTTTGCTCAGATATAAATTGATTTTTCGCTACTCATTTTGATAAAACAATCTGATTATATTTTATTTTTTAAGCAACTATTTTGAACGTGTAGAATTGATTTAACTAATAAAACTCATTCTATTCATTATTTGACATAAAAATTTTTCGTTAAAAAATATTGTCGTATTAAAAATTAAAGTTATTTATTGTCAGAAATCGTATAGTTTTAGCTGTACAGTAATTATTTTTCTATATTCTTAGTGCATCTGTTTTACAAAAATCGCTTTCGTATCTTTGGTATGGAAAATAAAGTTTGAAAACTCCTCTCTTTCTTGCTCCGTTTTTCCTTTTTTTTTTCTTTTCCCTTCTCGCTCTCTCTCTCTCTCTCTCTCTCTCTCTCTCTCTCTCTCTCTCTCTCTCTCNCTCTCTCTCTCTCTCTCTTTCTCTCTCGTTCTCTCTCTCTCTCTTTCTCTCTCTCTCTCTTACTTTGCGAGACGCACTAACCGAAGAACCTGCATTTAACAGCCGCCTTTAAACATTAAATGCTGCTTCATAATTTTCCCCATAACTCGGGGGTAACTTTGATTGCAGCGAGCATAGGGAGCAATGTGGCAGTCTCGGGGGGATACTGACTATCTTACCCTCTCTTCACTTCCATCTTTTTCATCTTGAAATCCTGTAGCTTTTGGCATACTCATAGAATATAAAGTCGAGAAAAGCGTCGAGAAGATAAAGAGGAATTGATGAAGAGTAGGAGAGTATAAGAAGGAATAGCTGAAAAAGCTAACACCTTATGATTACTCGCTCAACTTGAGTAACTTGCATTGCAAAACTCGTGCAACTTCTGCACCTGAAGTAGCTGCTAGTTGTTTCGCCATAACTGCTATTTAATTCTATTCATCAATTAACCCTTGCTCGTGCGTACTTCATCGGTTTTCTGTTCATTAGTTGTATTTACCACTTTTTTCAGAGCGCGTTTCTATGGATTATTTTCACATTGCGAGCACTAGGAAGTCATTTTGCTTTTTGGCCATTATCGTCTCGCTATATAATTTGCTTCCCGGAAGTGCTTCGTGCATATACTTTTTGTTCTGCACTTGACTTGATGATAATTGCTCTTTCTTTAGTACGCCTCTCCTCTCCGCTATCTTTCTCTCCTTTTTGGTTTTTTTGTTATCTTTCAAAATTATGTGTTATGCAAATTATCAAACAAAATAAAACTAATTCAGTTTCGGTAAAATATTTTGGTAAAAATTTTATTTACATGTATAAAGCTATAAATTCTCGCTTTTGAGCTCAATAAATAAAAATATACTATTTTGTGTAGGTACGAATAAAATTCAATCAGAGTCCGATTGAAACATAATTTAATCAATTTCATGAGGTTAAGGATGTTTTTTCATTATTTCTCAACGTTATATAATATTCTTTTCATTGTTCCCCTGTAAAACAAACAAACTTTATTCACTTACCTCAAAAATAATTGTTGAACGAACTTAAAAAAAAATTGTTTCCTACTACAATTCATGAACCATCTTTAAAAGCAATTTATGAACAAATAAGATGAAATAAATCAGACGGAGTAAAAGGTAAAAATAACTCGTCACCCAAACGAGATCTAATACAATTTCTTAGTTTATTACGGAATAATTATCTCTACCTCGGTTGACTTTATTCAGCAGCACTAGGTTTATCGCTGAAGCACGGAATAGTCGCCTTACCTCCAATAGATGTATTCAGCAGCTGACAGCGCTCGTCGCTGTAATCACAGAATAACTATTTTCTTATCTGAAGAAACATGCAGTTAACCATCCCCATATGTTCTTCCATGTACCTTTTACCAAAACTAGCTTAAGTGTGATCTGAGAGGCTAAGGTTATTAGGCAGTGCCTAGATCTAAGGGTAAAGAGGTCTCTTTTTTTTACACTCATATCTCAATGAAGTTCATGTTCGTGTGGGCTTTAGAAGTAGCCAGCTCTTTAGGGAAAAACGAGCTTGTTGCCTAGCTATTGAGTATCACTCGATGTTTTGTTTAACTGCAGCAAAAAGTTCAGGTGCCGCACTGGTTGTGTTGCTTTTGATTTTGTTGACTAATACATATGAAACGCTACTTTCACCAATTAGTTATTTGAGAAGTGAATCAATAAAAAAATTGCAGTTACTACATCTAT